CACCTTTGTCCATCTAGGCTGTGTACTGTTGAGCCCATCAAAATAATTCTTCATCTTTGATAGCATGTTTTACCTTTTTCACATTCCTGTCTCATTTCATTCCTCTGCTGAGACTCTCCATCTGTGTATTCCTGTTAACCACCTTCACCAGATGCCTTTCCCTTTTAATCACAGTTCTCTGACAGGCCCTCCTGGTGGCAACAGCACAAGTGCTATCTGAGACTAGTCCACTTGATTGCCTGCCCTCTTGGCAGTGAGTGATTTTTCCTTGCTTTTTAGTGGGTCTTGTAACTTTATTTGGATATTGTACATCATGATAAGAATAGCAGAGATTGTCACAGTGAGATATCAGCCTCACCTCATTTAATATGGCTGTTATCAAAAAGAAATGTTGGGGAGGGTATGGAGAAAGGGGAACCCAAACTAGCACACTGCTGGTGGAAATGTAAATTGGCATAGCTACTATGGAGAACAGTGTAGAGGTCCCTCAAAAAACTAAAATTAGAACTACCATGTGGTCTCGCAATCCTACTATTTGGTATATATGCAAAAGGAAATCAGTATATTGAAGGCCTCTCCACACCCCTGTGTTGAAGCACTATTCACAGTGGCCAAGATGTGGAATCAGATAAAGAAAATGTGGTCTATACAGTGGAATATTAGCCAGAAAAATAATGAAATCCTGTTATTTTCAGCAACATGAACGGAACTGGAATTCATTATGTTAAGTGAAATAAACCAGTCATAGAAAGACAAATAGTACATTTTCTCAATCATAGGTAGGATCTAAAAAGGTTGATCTCATAGAGGTAGTAAGTACAATAATAGATAACAGAGGCTAGAAAGTTTAGAGGAAGAGGGTATGAAGACAGGTTGATTATGGGGCACAAAAATATAATTACTAATAGATAAAAGGAATAAATTCTAGTATTTGGTAGTACAGTAGGGAAATAATAGTAATTTATTGTATATTTCAAAGTTGCTCATCTTTAAGAGAAGAATTGCAATATTCCCAACACAAAGACACTGCCTGGGCAACATGGCAAAACCCCATCTCTACAAAAAATAAAAAATGAGCCGGGCTTGGTGGTACACATCTGTGGTCCCAGCTGCTCCACATCTGGGGAGGCTGAGGTGGGAGGATTGAGCCCAGGAAGCAGAGGCTGCAGTGAGCCCAGATCACGCTACTGAACTGCAGCCTGAGTGACAGAGCAAGGCCCTGTCTCCTCCTCCCCACCAAAAGATAAATATTGGAGGCGATGGCTATCCCAGTTACTCTAATTTGTGCGTTTTAAATTGTATACATGCATCGAGGTATCACATGTACCCCCAAAATATGTACAACTATTATACATCAGTTTTAAAAAGAAAAACAGACATTGAGATAAATATATACTCCTGAAATGGGCTCACCTCCTCTTAGGCTGTTGATAGGCAGAAGGTGTTCAGTCTAGTCAGGAGTCGATTTGGGTTGGGGTTTTGTTCAGTGTTTGGGTCTGGGCCTTCAATGCCTCACAAGTTTCAGATTCCTTCAGTGATGGGCTGCTGTTCATTTGCTTGGAGTGAGGGTTTGAGTGCAGAAGGAAGGGTTTTTCTCTGAATTCCTGCTTCCCCCCTAGCTTTCAGCTCTTACCACATGGTTGCATCTCTGTGGGAGTCACAGTTCATGTTCCCGCAGAGGTCATCTGCTGTTGCGTGTTATTCACATTAGAGGACAGGTGGAAAGTGAGGGGGTGTGCCTGTTGTCCTTAGATAGGTTCTGTGTTGCTGGAACTTAAGGATGCAGCTTCCTCAGGGCTCCTGCACCTCCTCCTGCAGAGGTAGCTGACCTCTATGTGGTCCTGCTGTAGGATCCTATGCCCACAAGGAGAGAAAAAGTTGTCATCATCTCCTCTTTCTCAGCGTCAGAGGATCTTAACCTGGTGAGGGAACAGGGAGCATTTCTTCCACATTCCCAAGAGGCAGAGGGACTTTGCTGCTGCTTCTCCCTCCAGAGTAATGGATCTTTGCCTGTGCTCTAGGAAGCGGGGAAGAGGGTGTGCAGGAAAGAAAACAATAGTCATGTTATATACAGCGAGGGCCACATGTGGATAGAGTTTATATAGTCATAACAATGCAAGCACTGAATGTTGAGCTAAACAAATAATGTCACTCTGTCAGGAGGATGTGAAGATGGAGGTATTTCTGTTTTGGGAAGCCTCAACGTGTTAAATGAACACTTAAATTGTCATATTCATTTAGTGTAAGGTCAATAAAGTGTATAAATATTCAGTGTAAGGTCAGTAGTTAAAGCCTAAGACTGAAAAACTTAAAATGTCAAATGTAAGGATGCTATTTAGAAATAATGAGGGCCAGGTGTGCTGGCTCACTCCTGTAATCCCAGCGATTTGGGAGGCTGAGGTGGGTGGATCACTTGAGACCAGGAGGTTGAGACCAGCATGGCCAACTAGCGGAACCCCAACGCTACTAAAAATACAAAAATTAGCCTAGTATGGTGGCATATGCCTGTAGTTGGGGTTCCCAAGAATTGCTCATACCCGGGAGGCGGAGGTTGCAGTGAGCTGAGATCACACCACTGCACTTCAGCCTAGGCGGCAGAGCAAGGCTCCATCTCGGGGAAAAAAAAAAAAAAAAAAGGAATGAGGTAAATATTAAATAAGCTTCAAAAAGTCATAATTTTTTATTCTAAGAAGTGGAAAATGGATGGGAGGAGGAGACAAAGGGACTGCTTTTTTGTTGCCAAGCCACGGAGAACTGTATGACATTCAAAGATAGTTGAGTAAAGATGTTGATAAAATTAAATATTCAATTCCATAAATATAAAATTTGATAAAGTTTAAAACTGAGTTCTAAAAGTTTATAACACAAGGGTAGGGATAAAGGTGTAGGGAAAGTAGGCACTCTCATAAGTTGGTGAAGGGATTCCAACTGGTGCAGCCTTTAAGGAGATCAGCAGGGTACTGCATCAAAGTTCCAAATTCAGTAGTTCCTACTGCAGAGGTGGTAGAAAATTGTATGTCACACTTGCATACAATAAGACTAGAAACAGTCTAAATATTACTAGTAGGTGGCTGAGTGCAGTGGCTCATGCCTATAATCCCAGCACATTGGGAGGCCAAAATGGGTGGATCACCTGAGATCAGGAGTTCAAGACCAGCCTGGCCAACATGGCGAAACCCCATCTCTACCAAAAAAAAAAACAAAAATTAGCAGGGCGTGGTGGCAGGCACCTGTAATCCCAGCTACTCAAGTGGCTGAGGCAGGGAGAATTGCTTGAACCCGGGAGGTGGAGGTTGCAGTGAGCCATGATTGTGCCATTGCACTGCAGCATGGGCAATAGAGTGAGACTCCTCTAAGTAAGTAAGTAAAGTAAGTAAGTAAGTAAGTAAAGAAAGTAAGTAAGTAAATAAATAAATAACCAGTAGGTAAATGCCTAGCAGCCATGCAGTGGAATATTACCTAGCCATTAAAGAAAAGGGTGATACTTTATGTACTTCTGTGAAATGATATCCCAGGTAAGAAGCAAGGTGCAGAATGACATTGGTGTTCTAAAGAAAATTACCAGAGAAACTGGAAGTACTTCTGTTTCTAAGGAAATAGGGAAGTAGTTCACTTCTAAGGAAGTAAACTTGATAGCTTAGGGATAGAGCTGGGAGGAAGATTTTTTTTGCCATGTACTCTTTCGTGCCTTTTGAATTTTAAACCATTTGAGTCAGTTACCCATATAAAGTTTTAAAATAAAATTATAAAAATGGGTTAAACACATTGGGTTAATTACATGGAAAATACTTTCTTAATTTCCATTATATATTATAAATTCTGAATGGATCATATGACTAAATGAGAGAATCAATATGTTAAAACCAGGCCAGGCACGGTGGATCACACCTGTAATCTTATAATCCCAGCACTTTGGGAGGCTGAGGCAGGAGGATTGCTTTGAGCCCTGGCTGGTCTTATCTCGAACTCCTGTGCTAGAATCAACTCCTGTGCTAGAATCAACTCCTGATCCCAGGAGAAAAGAGAAAAGATTAATTTGTCTACACTAAAATTTAAAAACTGACATAAAAATGTCTTAGAATGCTGTGACAATCACAGACTGAGAAGATTGTTGAAACACATTGTCAAGATTTGGTGTACAGATTAACTTCTACAAATCAGTGAGGAGAAGAGTTCAGGGGACACTTCAGTTGAATCATGTGCAATAAACATAGGTTGGTCAGTCACAGTGTCTCATGGCTATAATCTCAGCACTTTGGGAGGCCAACATGGCAGATCACTTGAGTTTAGTAATTCGAGACCATGCTGGGCAACATAGGGAAATCCCATCTCTATTAAAAATGCAAAAAAAAAAAAAAAAAAAAAAAAATTAGCTGGGCATGGTGGTACACACTTGTAGTCCCAGCTAGTCAGGAGGCTGAGGTGGGAGGATCGCTTGAGCCTGGGAGGCAGAGGTTGCAGTGAGCTGAGATCGTCCCACTGCACTCCAGCCTGGGCAATACAGCTAGATTCTGTCTCGAAAAACATATGTTTGTTAAAAATATTAACAGGCAGTTCACAGAAAAAAACTGAACTGTGGAAAAAAAGTTCAATTTCGCTCGTAACCAGAGGAAAGCAAATTAAAAGAACGCATTTCATATCTGTCAAGTTGGCAAAAGTGTGAAAATAGGACTTCAAGGTTTGGGTTGGAATGTAGAGAAACTTACATTGTGATTTTTTGAAGTTGTATATTTTTTATAGCTAGGATGACACTTCGTATCTGATTTTGATAGTTTTTTTATGTACAACGTAGACATCTTTCCATTTTAACATGATACATAGAACTCCAAACTCCATTTTTAGATGTATTTAACAGTATATATTATCCACTGATAAGGCTAATTTGCGTAGGATTCTGTCTGAAGGAAGGGTAACAGTGTAGAGAACCTCAAGGTTTTTCTTACCTTAGGGTTTTATAGTTTTCGATTTTTAATATAGATTGTTTTCTGCTTTTTTAAAAGACATTATTGCAAGAGCATCTCAAGCAGACGTCGTTACAATCGTGATTTGGAACAGGATGAAGCATTTATTCCAGTTGGAGAATCACTAAAAGACCTTATTGATCAGTCACAAAGTTCTGGTAGTGGGTCTGGACTACCTTTATTGGTAAGTTGAAAGTTCATGTAAATATGAATGGTGTGTTGATTTAAAATGTGTCCTCACGATGCTAGACAGCATAATTATTGCAGATCAGGGAACAATAATGGACACATTTTTTTCTCCTGATTTAGAAAGAGGCGTGCACTATTGCAAGGTGAAATTAGTTAAAAATAAGAAATACAAACCAAGAAAAAGTAGAATAGGCAAGTAAGATAGAGCTATAAACAAGGTTAGGAACCAAGTCCCATAGAGAGGGCAGGAAAAGTTAGATCATGAAGTTCTGTATGAAGGGCAAGAGTTAGCTCACAAGATTTGCTCTAAGCATTTATTTTACCAGCCAATTTAAAGAGGAATCAGGAATAAGATTCCTTGCATCTATAAGGTTATACTGATTGACTGAGGGAACTGTAACTATTTCAGATTCTGAAATCAAAAAGAAACTTCTTCAACCGATATTCTTGGAGAGGATACTTCTTTCAGTATAATACTACCAAAACATAATCAATGTATTTTACCAAGATACAGTTCAGTTAAAAATAAAAAAAACTATTACCAAAACATAGTTCAATAAAAATAATTTTAAAGGGATTGCAAATAAATTCCAACAGAGTTAGACTGATTCTTGGTATCAGGGGAAAAAATAATCCCAGCAGGTTCATTTGTATATGGAAATACTCAGATTTGTGGGTTGTGGGAACTCTTGTTTGAGAGGATCTGTATTATGAACACTAGATATCCAGATAGGTTTTAGTTTTTAATGGTATTAGTTGAAAGAAACTGTCTCTTATTATTTCGTTTTATTTTGTTTTGTTTTTATTTTATTGAGACAGTCTTGTTATGTCACCCAGGCTGGAGTGCCGTGGCTCAGTCTTGGCTCACTGCAACCACTGCTTCCCAGATTCAAGCGATTCTCATCTCAGCCTCCAAAGTAGCTGGGATTACCGGATGCACCACCACACCTGGCTAGTGTGTGTGTGTGTGTGTGTGTGTGTGTGTGTGTGTGGAAGCGACCCTCCCACCTTGACTCCTAAAGTGCTACGATTAGACATGTGAGCCACTGAACCCAACCTGATCCTAATTTTATAATTTATCTTATTAAATAACTCAAATTGAGTTGGAAAGCTGAAAGTAAAACTGCCTTCATATGCAGACATGATTGTTCATGTAGAAAATCCCAAGAATGTTACGATAAAATTACTACAGCCAGTAATTGAGTTTATCAGGTTTCAGAATACAGAATCATTATGTAAATATCATTGAATTTATATGCACTAGCAACAATTAAGAAATTTAAAAAACAGTATCATTTAAAATAGCATCAAAAACCATGAGATATTTAGAATAAGCCTAACAAAGTTTATGCAACATCTGCACACTGAAAATTATAAAACATTGCTAGAAATTAATAAAGCCCTAAATAAATGGAGCTGTTTATAAATCTGAGGACTTAGTATTAAGATTTCAGTTCTTCTCAAATTGGTTGTAATTTCATTTGAATCCAAATTAAAATCAGAGCCAACTTTTATATAAAGTAATGTTTATTCTAACACTTACATGGAAATGCAAAGGACTAGAAGAGCCAAAACAATTTTTAAGTAGAAGAACAAAGGAATCACTACCTGATTGCTGAACTTACTGTAAAGCTCAATAACGATCACAGTTTGGTACTAACTTAAGGATAGATCAATGGAACAGATTATAGAGTTTAGAAAGGGACATGCACTTAAATGGTTAATTGATTTTTTTTCTTTTTAAACAAAGATACCCAAGTAATTCAATTGGAAAAAGGCATTTAACAAATGGTGCAGGAAAAATCAGGAATCCATTTATCAAAAAGTTAATCTCAGCCCTTACCTCCTCACTCTATATGCAAAATTAATTTGAAATGCAGCATTTCAAGAAAGTGTAAAACCTCTAAAAGAAAATGCCTGAAAAAAATTATTGCCACTTTGGTTTGGGCAGACTTCTCAGTACATAGAAAGCATGAATCATTTTTTGTTAATAATAAATCAGGCTTTATCAAAATTTAAAACTGCTATTTAGAAGACACTGTTAAAAAAATGAGAAGACAAATCAGATTGGCAAAACAGATCTGATAACAGGGTTTTTGTGCAAAATATATAAAGATCTTTTACAACTCCAATATGACACTCCCAATTAAAAAAAAATGGACAAAATATTTGAACAGACCCTTCCCCTAAGAAGATACAAGAATGGCAAACAAGCACGTCCAAAGATGCTCAGCATCAGCAGATATGCAAATTAAGCATAGTGAGATGCCACTACACATCTAGTATGGCTAAGACTGACAATTTTAAGTGCTGACAAAGATGTAGATCAACTAGAAATCTCATACATTGCTGACTGGAATGCAAAATGGTATGGCCATTTTGAAAAACAGTTTGACAATTGTCTGGAAAGTTAAGGGCATATTCTATTTACAATGAAGCAATCCTCTGCTAATTATTTACCCAAGAGATATGAAAACTTATCCCACCAGAGGCCTGAATGTGAATGTTCTTAGCAGTTTTATTTATAATAGACATAAACTGGAAACAACCCCAAAGCTCACAAATTGATAAATGAATAAACAGATGCTGGTACATTCATACAGCAAAATACTACTCGTCAGTAAAAAGGAACAACTCCTAACACATGCAGCAGCAGCAGTGGGTGTATTTCAAAAGAATTTTATGCTACATGAAAGAAGCCAGACACAAAAGTGATTCTCCTGCCTTAGCCTCACGAGTGGCTGGGATTACAGGCATGTACCACCACGCCTGGCTTATTTTTGTAATTTTTTAGTAGAGACGGGGTTTTGCCATGTTGGCCAGGCTGGTTTCAAACTCCTGACTTCAGATGATCCACCCACCTTGGCCTCTCAATGTGCTGGGATTACAGGTGTGAGCTACCGAACCTGGCCAAAAAGTGAGAATTTTTTTTACATGATTAAAATGTTCTGTATTTTATTTGTGGTATTGGTGATTATATGATATAGATTTGTTGCACTAAGGCTTGTACTTTTCTCAAAAAATGTACATTTTATGTAAATTATACCTAATAATCTTGACTTAAAAAAAAAACTTACAGACCAAGGCAGGTGGATCACTTGAGGTCAGGAGTTTGAGACCAGCCTGGTCAACATGGTGAAATCCCATCTCTACTAAAAATACAAAAATTAGCCAGCCTTGGTGGCACATGCCTGTAATCCCAGCTGTTCCAGAGGCTGAGGCAGGAAATCACTTGAACCTGGGAGGCAGAGGTTACAGTGAGCTGAGATTATGCCTCTGCACTTCAGCCTGGGCAACAGAGTGAGACTGTTTCTCAAAAAAAAAAACACAAAACAGAACTTACAAAAGGATTCTATAATAAATGATACATGAAGTCTGTTTAGGTTTGCACAAAATCTAGTCCATTTTAGAAGCATTTCCAACTTGGAATGTAGTGATCTTTTTAATTTAGAATGATCACTAATGCTTCTGAAAATGAAAGATAACAGTCCATGTACATCTTGTAGTTAACAAATATTAAAGTACTTCTGATATTGTCCAAATAAATACCTATATCCTGTGAGCAGGGGATGGAATTCAAGAAAATACATATGTAAATAAGAACAAAGTTATGATCGTGTTAAGTGCAGCAACTGAGAGGTTATGTGTGCTTTGAAGGTGTTTAAGTGAGAAAATAGCACTCTAACTAGGAACTGGACATTCAAAAAGACACAGAGACAGGAATATGCTTGAGTGAATTCTGAAACTTGAGATAAGTCAAACAAGAGGTTTATGGGTAGGTGGTCACAGGAAATAATGGGGCCAGGCCAGATCATGTAGAGTCTTATAGATGGAATTTTTAAGATCTTTTTTTTTTAAAATAAAGACAGGGTTTCATCATGTTGGTCAGGCTGGTCTTGAACTCCCGACCTCAGGTGATCCACCCACCTTGGCCTCCAAAGTGCTTGGATTACAGGCGTGAGCCACTATGCCCGGCCGAATTTTTAAGATCTTTAACTGTCATTTGGACTTTGCTGCATAACAAACTACCCCAAACTTAGTGCCTTGAAGCAGCAAACATTATTTCTCATGAGTCTGTGAGTCTGCAGGGCAGTTCATTTGTTGGACTTGCTTAGCTAGAGCTAGGTGGTACAGTTTACACGCATGGCCGGCAGTTCACGCTGCCATTATTCGTTGGTCACAGGGTTCCCAAAGCAGCAGGAAAGGGCAAGCCCCAGTGCACAAACATTTGTCAGGTCTTTTCTTGCATCACGTTTGCTATTCAATTATCCAAAGCAAGTCATGTGGCCTAAGCCCTGAGTCTGTGGGCCAAGACTACCCATGGCTGTGTGCAGTGGGAGGGGAATTACTATCACCATTTTTGCAACAGCCAGCCACATTGAATAACCTGTTTATAATTTCACAGTACATTGTTTCATGCTTTAAAGTACATTATGGCCAGGCACAGTGGCTCATGCCTGTAATCCCAGCACTTTAGGAGGCCGAGGCGGGCAGATCACCTGAGGTCAGGAGTTCAAGACCAGCCTGGCCAACATGGCAAAACCCCATCTCTACTAAAAATACAAAAAAAAATTAGCCGGGCGTGGTCGTGGGTACCTGTAATCCCAGCTACTTGGGAGGCTGAGGCAGAAGAATTACTTGAACCCAGAAGGCGGAGGTTGCAGTGAGCCAAGATTGTGCCACTACACTCCAGCCTGGGCGATAGAGTGAGAGACCCCATCTCAAAAAAAAAAAAAAAAGTACCTTATAAGTTTTTAATTGGAGTTGGTTGGGTACACCATGCTTTTTGATGAGGTGAACTACCTCTTTGCCAGTCTTAAAGGGTTTCGTTCATCAAGAGCTCAAACATTTTACTTTTTTCTATAAAGGTTCAGCGAACTATTGCCAAACAGATTCAGATGGTCCGGCAAGTTGGTAAAGGCCGATATGGAGAAGTATGGATGGGTAAATGGCGTGGCGAAAAAGTGGCTGTCAAAGTATTTTTTACCACTGAAGAAGCCAGCTGGTTTCGAGAAACAGAAATCTACCAAACTGTGCTAATGCGCCATGAAAACATACTTGGTAGGTACACACTGATTCAGTCAATTTCATGTTTGACAAGGCTAGTGGGATGTAGGTGGAAGCCTCCATATGTGCTTTGAAAACATGTGTGAGCTCAGCTGATATGCATTTGGCTAAAGGAAGCCCAGTAGAATGCACGATTAAAATACAACACGGTCCGGAATGCCAACCAAGCACTTTCTTTACTAACTAGCTGAAGAAACAGTAGTGAGTTTCAAATGGAAAATAATACTAGTTTATTGGACTTACTCCCATGGTAATGAAAACCCAGTTTTTTATAGATAGTTTAAGCAGTGATCTAGGGTAACATTAACATATATGCCTTTTGCCTTTCATAACCTCAACAGCCCAACATGCTGCTTCATTGTATGTTCTGTGTTTAATGTGTGTTCCCCCCAATCTCCATATTTACACAATAGCAAAGTAATGTAGGTATGAGCTGATCGGTCAGATGCATAAACCTATCTGGCTATCCTGAGTTTTCTTTTCCCTTCATCTCCTGTTTTCCTACCTTTAATTTGGAGAGTGCATAGCACATTGCCAAGCAGACAATTGTATTAGTTTCTTAGAGCTGCTGTATCAATTAACCACAAACTGGGTGGTTTCAACCACCAAAACTCACAGTTTTCGAGAATAGAAGTTTAAAACCAAGGTGTTGGCAGAGCCATTCTGTCTCTGAAGACTCTAGGGTGGAACCTTCCTTGCCTCTTCTGGCTACCAGTGGTTGCCAGGAATTTTTGGTGTTCCTTGGCTGGTTATAGACAATACTCTAGTCTCCATTTCTGTCATCAGGTGGCCTCCCCTGGGTGCCTGGGTTTATATTTCCACCTCACAACATCACCAGCCACTGAATTTGGGCTCATCCTAATTCTGTATGGGTCATCTTAACTTGATTACATTTGCAAAGACCCTCTTTCCAAATAAGGTCACATTTATAGGTAACATGGATTTTAGACATGAATTTTGTTGAGGAGCACTGTTCAGCTCACCTCAGGGCATAGCACTAACTGACCTTTTTCTGGAGGGAAGAGGGTAGGAGAGAAAGGAAAAGAGAGCAGGACCGTGGACCTGGCAGTCAATGAGCCAGACTGAAAAGGCAGCTGTGATGAGTCACTGATGGGCAATTGGGAGTTGGCTTAATTAGGAGCTAACTCTTGGTTGAACATTCTTATTAAGTTTATTAAAGTGTCCACTTTTTGCTTTGAAATTGAGAGCCTTTTCCACTAGAGAATCATGTAGATT